AACAAGGAGGAAATAAAAAAACTAATATCTTTCCCTATTTTTGATGAATCCTTAAATCAAGAATAACAAAGCGAAAGGTTCTGTGGGAGCAAGAAAGGTCGTGGCTCTGCTGAAAGGTTTGCATTTGTAGAAATGAGGTGTCAGAAGAGGCAGGATTTCCTCAGGGTGCGGCACAACATGAGCCCATTTCTTATCATTTACTTCTCCCAAATGTGATCTGCTTTGGATTCCCTAATTCTTAGAGAAATCCACAGACTTGAAGCCAGTTCAAGATGAAATCGCAGCACACATCCCTGACAAACTGCCATCCACCACACAAGGATTAAACAGTTGTCGTATTTCAAATCCCTGCCAAAAGGAAGTACCGGTAATATATGCACTTAAATRAATACAAAACCCTTGTCTCAGTTTTTGATTTTTGCATTTTGAGGTGTTTTTCATCTCAGAGATATTTAAGAACAGAAGAAATGCATTGAAGAGAAAAGAGAAATCTTGAAATTTTGCTCATTAAAAATAACAAAATTTATTAACATTACATCAAAATAGTTTTATAGCTCAAATCAAGTTCAATTTGAACTGGTGATGTTCTTTTTTTTACATTATTACATTTTCAATACTCACAATTAATGGCTTTTTTTCTAACCAGTGCAACATAGATGATTTCCTCATAACTATTTAAACAACTCTCAAGTAACACTTAATTAAACTGAAATATAACATATATTTTTAAGCAACACCACACTGCCCCTCCCTTCAGTTGCATGGCTCCTGGCATGAAAGAAAAGTTATGATATATAAATCTAAGCTGTTTTGCACATTTTGTGTTATCATTTTTCTGTTTAAATTATGTATGAGGTCTCAATGGGGAGAAATGTGACCATTAGCATATCTGATAGGGACTCTGGAGCTGTTTTCCACCTCTCTCTGTCCTTGGAACGAGGCAGACTAACCTGACTGTTCGTCAATACCAGGTCATTTTATCCAGGCCGGCCCGGTTCATCTACACCAATCTAAAACTCTGCTAATGACACCCTGAGACGTTCTCAGTGTGATGGGGGACCCAGAGGGTTCCAACACTAATATGAATATAGTCTAGCACCGTCTGGTCTTCTCTGGAAGCTCTTTGACAAAAAWTGCAATTAGAAACACCTCAGACACACCAATTTGAAATGAGACACTGCTATGTTCTCTGACTACATTTACTTATGTTACTGTCTACACCTCAAAGACAGAAAAAAAAACATTCCTTTGAGGTTGGGAATCTTTGGACTTGTCCCTAGGTTCATTAGAGAAAAAATATAGCATTTAAACAGGCTAAAAGTAGATGAAGTCCAAAGCAAAAACACATCTCAGTTACATATTTTAACAAAATCAATAAAATACATTGTTTTGTTCCTTGCTGCTAAGCTAACTGGAAATTTGTTGGGCGTTAAGTCTTCAGAAATGTTCTAACATTTGCTTTAAATAAAAAATTTTATTACTAGCTTTGTGGGGAGGCTCAAAGGGATTATTTAGTTTCTTTAAGTTTTTTTAGCAGTCTCAGTTTGGAAAGATAAAGATTAAATTCTGACCAGATGTACGAGCTAACAACTAGTCAAAGAAAGGCCAAAGTGAATGTCTGCCATTTTAAAACAACTCTCATTTCAAACATTTTATAGCACTTAATGCAAACAGTATTTTGTAAATCTTATCATTGCCTTCAGTTATTCTAGCAATGATAATATACTATTCTTGTTGACAGTGCTTCAGAATGCACTGCAAGTGTATATTCTATAAATCTTATCCGCTGTAAAGGTTTATAAAAAGTAGTGTTCATGCGAAGTGTTGTGAATTCTTTTAGATTGGCTCTGCTCAAATTAGCCATTAGCTCATTTGACCAGTCAGAATTTAACTGTAATTTTCTATAATGAGTTTGTACAGAGAGGTGTCTTCAACAGGTGAGATAATAACTGACCATAACTACTCCGCAGAACCCACTTCCAAAGATATGAACTACTGCTTTTTTTATTTTTTGCTTTTCATAGATTAATTGTATTTTATTCTGGAATCTACAATGACACATAAAAAAAAAGACTGATGTCAATATTTTACTCAGTTGAATTATAAAAATAAACCAACAGAAATATGTTGCATTAGTTTTGCTTTGCCCACTAAAAGACAGCACATTATCCCTTTTCTCTCTGGACCATTTAGACTGCTAAGACTACCATTTGAAAAATACTTACCTTGTTAAAGAAAGTTTAATGTCATATGCAATTATTTGACCCTTATGAATATTAAAGGTTCCCATCTCTGGCCTATTAAAAATGCATGTGGCATTGTGGTTGTTGATCACGTTTAGAACGGCCATGCAAATTGGACTGTCTTTCCTGTCAGGGCCTCAGATGAATAATGTAGTTGTGTTGTATGTTCAGGGACACACCATTGACAGTCAATTAACAAGTTTGATTGGTGTGTGAACTCATTCTTTTGAACTGTTAATTTTATGTAAATAGTATTCGCTCTCTCTTCTTTACTGTCCCCCCCCCCCCACCCCCAACCATGATCAACACAGAAACTATAAAACCCTAGATCCTCCACCTCCCACTAAGAGTAACCAGAGTGGGATGCTTAATAATTGATCATCACACACCTGCTTGGTAGACGCTATGGGAAAATGCCTTTAACAGTCAAGGGGCTCCGTGCTTGCACCTTTTGATATTCAAATTGACAAATGGTATTTGGTCTTGATGAATTCTGAATGCAGCCAGCACTTTTTTATGTGGAGGAGCTTGTTAAAAGATTGTAGCCCCACGTCCAACCTGATGGACCTCTTCTCTGTTGGAGTGGGTATGATGGCATTTGATGGCTCGTAAATGGAATGCCAATTGACAATTTGTTGTTGATGTGTGGGGAATCTGGCTTTTATGTTAGGCAGTCACAGTAATGCAGGCTCCCGGGCAGATCCTGCTTTCAGGTAAATGATCCGGTGATTGATCCAAATGGTTGAAAGCAGTGTGGGCCTTATCTCCCTCCTCTCCTCTCTTTTACTCGCCTGCTCCTCTCTGACTTGTCTTCCCTCCATCTCTTGTCTCATACACTATCCCAGTAATTTGCAGCAGCAAGGATGGAAGCTAAAGCTTCATCAAAGCTGACAAGTGAACCCAGGAGCTGGGGATCATGGCTAACCCATTCAATTATGGAAATAGCAATGACAGTGTCTGCCCTCTAGCTAAACAGTTGTGTGGCTAACATCTTGTTTTGTTGGCGTCTGGTAAAAGACCCAGTTTTACACATTTAAAACATGGAGACATCTTGTAACCCACTAACATCTGCAAGAACTTGGGTGACACTGATCTGAACAGGTAAAACAAAATATATATTATGAAATAAGCAGAATAGGAAGTGAAGTTTGGGTAGTATTAACCTTTTGTACACACACACCACGCTAATTTCATTTGAAACACAATATTGTTGGCTGTGTCTTTGCTCATCGGTGAACTATCTTGTTGATGTTATCAGTTGGTTGTCTCCAAAGATCTGCATGTTGTGTAGATTTCTGAAATTTATAGCATTTCTTGGGCACCCGTTTGCATTGACTATTACTTAGTGTCCAGAGCTAATCCCGTCCAACCTCAAACACTGCTGATCTACCAGGTCTCTAAAGGCCTGACCTCCTAAATGCCATCCCTCATGCTGACTTGTCTGTCTGCATTAAGCAGATAGATTTTTTTTAGGTTTTATTATTCAAAGAGCTTAACTCTAACACAGGTATTTAACAGAGAATTGAGCTTATTATCACACGGCTAATTATGCTTATGAATAACATTGGTGCCACTGAGAAATATTGGCAAGCATCTAACAAAATATGTGTTTGCATTAGACGTGTGAAACATGGGCTGTTGGCGATAAGAAGATGACAATTGGGAGCTGGAACTTGTTAATTAATGTACCGCTAATCAAATATAGGCTTATAGTTATTGTTGATTTGATTAAAGCACATTGTTAAATGATGTACTTTTTTTTAAACAAAGCTTTTTTTGTTGTTGAATGACTTCACTCAGTTTTCTAATTCGAAACATTTTACATAGAATTTTTGTTTTACTTAACACATAATACTTGCGTAGTTCACTCTTTCATAAATAAGATATTATCTGAATTGTCTTTGAAAGCTAACTTTTTTATTGACTAACACAGTTTCCAAGTCTTTTGTTCAGCATCATTCACTGTGTGTGTGTGCCTGTGTGCGTGCGTGCGTGTGTGTGTATATATATAAACTAATAAACCATAACAAATAATTACTGTATGATACCTTGTTTGCAAGTCAGATTTTAGTTTCTGAACCAAGTTTATTACTTTATATTTTTGAAAACCTTAAACCATAAAGGTTCACCAGACAGATGTTTTCAATTCTTTAAGACTTCATTTTGTTAAAAACTGCACCAGTTTATTTAGAAAGAAAATAAAAATACCTTTACACCTTATCTTATTTTATTCTAACTCCACACATAACGAATCGCAGCTTGATCATTTGAACAGTTAAACTAGTAAATCAGTCTTATTTTTACATTTGTCCTTTGATTTCYAAATATAGTTAACTCAGTAAGCTGGACATACAACCAGTTTAGGTGGCAGCTGGCACTAAAAAAACTTACTGTTTTGTCTTTAAACCTACTGGAGATAAACCAAAATTGTTTAATGCCGATCTWCAGAGTCAATCAGAAAATCAGCCTATTCCGGTCTTCTGTTGAACAGTTTAGCTGGACCGGTGGCTTGGCTTGAGTAGTAACAGGTGGTCACTACATTGCTTTGATCTCTACCACTGATCATTTTGTAAAGTGTAAAGATATTTTCAAGAGATGTGATTCTTAACAGCCCCTCTATGTAGCCTTTTTTTGTAGCATTCTTATGATTTTTTTTGTTATAAGCACAACTTTATCAAGTTGCAAATGTTGACTAAATCTAAACTTGTTTTTACTGTATCATTTCTGATGTTTTTGTTGCCTTTTTTCTTGTTCCAGGTAGGTGAGGTGGTGTTCTGTGCTGGTCAAATTGCTTTGGTCCCCTGCACCATGCATTTAGTAAAGGCTGGTACCTACACTCAAACCCGAATGTCTTTCAGCCATGTGAAGAAGGTTCTGGAAGCTGTGATCAACAACTTGACTCTGGCGCATGTSGTCCAGGCCCACTGCTACACTACAAGACGCCAAGACATTGCTATGATCAGAACTGTCTGGGACAGCATGCTGAAGTCTACAGGGGAAGAGAAGGTCAGACACTTTGGAGTAGAATTTTGTTTTATGAAATATAAAAGTGTAGTTACATAGAAAATGAATGACTTGTTTTATCATAGATGCAGAGGAAATATTGATAATACTAATAGGATGAGCACATTTTTAATGGATTTAAAAAAAAAACAACTGAATACATGCATCAATTATTAAATAAAAGAAGGGGAAACTAGCCATGAGATTCTTGTTTTTCAGAGATGCCTATTAAACTTTGTGTTTTATAGTTAAAAAAAATATATGTGGATGTTTCAAGCCCCTCTCTGCCCCCATGAGACCCAAGCCACTGCTACTGATATTTACCAGTGAGTGTGCTCATGAAAAGTTGATGATGTGGGAAACGCTGGCGTCTTTGATAATGCAGAGCTTGGCACAGAAGCAGATGTCTTCCTCAGAGCCTCCCTAATCCTTTGCCCCCACACACCATTTTAGAGCGGTGTTCAACTCTCAGAGCAGCTTATCCCCCTCCTCGATCCTCTTCCCTGCCACCACCCTCCACCCTTTGCTCCATTCTGCCGCGCTGGCTTACAACCCTTGCTCCGAACATCTAATAGGGGCTCCAGTCTCCCTTGGCAGCCCTTCTCCTCCCACAGTAATCTGCCTAACCATGGGAATAGGGCCTCGGGGAGAGCGGCAGGAGCCCACCTCCAACATGTGGCTTGGTATAGATCTGAACAGTTTGAAAGACTCGGGCGAAAATGTCAACTTTATGTCACTTTGCAGCACTTTATAAAGCAGAACTAARTGAAAAATTCTAATCATATTTAAATTTTAAACAGCTTTAACACTTTTGATGGAAATATCTGAATTCTAAAACATATATGCATCACAACTCTCCAATAAATGCTGGTGGTTTTTTTTTTTTTTTTTTTTTTTTTTTTTTTTTTTTTTTTTTTTTTTTTTTTTTTTTTTTTTTTGATATTTTACAGTATTTGACTCATTTGCTTTAATGAAAATCACAATGGGTTAAAAGTATTAAAAGCCATGTCGGTGCAATGCAAATTTAGCGTACAGCCTGTGTCACTCTGTTAGACAGGCTAACTACAGGCAAAGCTTTGGCAAGTAAAACTTGGTTCATGCCAGAGGTGGCAGAAGATGGATAACATTGTCCATCTGTTGTGCTTTCTTACAACCTGTCAAAACAGTTTAAAATATTTATCTAACCTGTAATGTTTACCAAGAGGCAACGTTTTAAGATGTGTCTTTAATTGAGAATTCAAGATCTTACCTGCCAGAGAGATTCTATATTGTAGATGCCAGTCACCATTCTAACCACTCACTTTGTTTTGGCTTTAGCTCTTTTTCACTTAAAGGGCATTTTGCATTGCATGAAATGTTTAGTTTCCAACAGTTTGGCATAAACTTCAGAAAACTTATATCCAAAAGTTTGAGAAAAATAAAAAACACAACCTTTTTTTAAATTTAACTATTAAATAAATACATTTTAATTCTTATCAAACCTTGGTTTTTGATCATCTCACATAAACAGAGTGGAAATAGGTGTAGCGTTATAAGACTGAGTCTTTAGTTGAAATGTATATTTTAAGGTAGATATTGAAAAACCTAACATAATTTAATGAAGTCAAAAATATACAGTATAAAGGAATTCAAATATCAAAATTACAAGAAAAAATATTGTCTGAGAAATTAAATGATAAATTTTGGGCATCACTGTGGGTTAGTGGTTAGCGCTGTCTAACAGCAAGAATGTCCTGGTTTCAAGTCCTGGATTAGACCTGGAGTCTTTCTGTATGGAGATGAAATGTTATCATGTTTATGGGTTTTCTCCAGGTACTCTAATATCCCCCACAGTCAAAAAAAAAATAACATCCATGTTTAGGCTGCCTTCTACGGAGCCCGTGAGGGAACATGGGAGATTTTTTTTCTTTTGTGTTCCCACGGAACAGTATTGCGTTACCTCGCAATACCTTTTGCATACCCTCGCAAAAGTAGTTTATCACTATTGTGCCTGSCGGTTTATTAACAAACTCACATGTTCACCATTAGCGAGTTAGCCTACTGCTTTAATTCAGCTTCAGAATGAATATATCTCACACAGCCACGCATGGAAGTATGTCATATGCCGGTATTTTCACACAGTACATCAACGTCAATTTCACGAACTTGTGGTGACATCATGTTTTGGTAACAGGATATTTCAAAATAAAAGTCTGATTTAATTCAGTTCATATACAAAACAAYCTTTTGCGTGGGAACGCAAAACAATTTTGCGAGGTAAAGCAAAAGTATTGCGAGGGAACGCAATACTATTGCATGGGAACGCAAAAGAAAAAAAAATCTCCCCATGTCACCTCGCGAGCTCCGTAGCCTTCAGATCCAGGCCTTTCTTAAAAAAGAGATCTGTGATCTCAATGGGATTTGACTTGTTACATATGGGTTAATAGTAATAAATGAATGGTTCATGAAATCTTATGTAAGCAGATGAACAGAGCTGGCTCCTGGTTCCAGGTTGCTTATATCAAAATCTTAAGCAAAAGTCTTGTATACATACTGTACACACATACTGTATACATATGTGAGTGTGTGCACGTGCGTGCGTGCGCATGCGTCGATGTGTGTGTGTTTATGGATCAAAATGCAGAGTATGCCTGTGAAGCCATAGGGCCCCGTAGCTGTTACGAGTTAATAATTTTTCCAGTCAGGTGGATGAAGAAGCTTGCAGGGTTAATTGGGAGCATACTGGAGTCGCTACACGTGTGAAATTGTATTTACGCTGCATTAAACCACAAAGAGCTTGTTTGTCTGTGTGCATACAATAATGTGTGCAAAAGGTTTGACGACTGAGGAGATGGTGATGTGATAAGTCAGGAAATGTTAAACAGACATCCCTTTGTGATGAAACATGAAACATATTGAATGTAAAGCAAATATTAATTAATGCTAAATCATGTTACTGGAAAAAAAAAGTTGTGAACAATAGCTTTATTAACAGTTTGTGCTAAAGTCTTTTCTCAACAGCACAGCAAAACTTTTTAGGAACTTTTTAAGTGTACCTACTGCTGTGATTTTAAAGTGACCACATCATTATAAACTTTTCTTCTCCCTATTGACGTCGCAGTGAGTTTCATTTGCACAAACAATCTGGCAAACCTCACAGTGGAATCTTGGGAAAAGAGCGAATAAAGGGGTGAAAACGAAGGGATATTATAGCAGACTGACAGCACTACAGTAAGTGCTGAGACATAAGAACCACACGCTGAAGGCGTCCTGCTGGGCAGGAAATGTAGGGGAACTGGCTAAGCTGTGCAGCCCCATCAGCTCCCTGCTGTTCCCCTCCTTTACACCACTTCCTTATTACCGTGTTTACCGTTCGGCTTTCATGCCTATCGGCCCTCCAACCCACCACACGCTCCAGGCACATGAGCGCAAGTTAAAGGAGGGGAGGGGAATGGAGAAAAAGGAAAACAAACATAAGAAGGAGCAGGTCACACCCCATCAGTGTTAGAGAGCTGAGCACAGCAAATTCAAACTGCATGTGCTCTTACCTGCTACCTACAGAGTGAAAAAGCACAGGGGGAATGGTGCATGCCCTGGAACTGAAGTGGCATGAAGTAATGAGATGGATTGAGTTAAGTGGCTGGTGAGGAACACACACACACTCATTCTGCCACCTGCCGGCCCCCCTGACTTGCCACTCCAGCACTCAGCTCCGTCATATATCAAACTCTGTTCTTTATCGGATTAATTTAATTAGTGATGTCTGATCAGGGAGGAGTGAAAGTGTTCTCTCTCGCTCCGCTCTGCCAGCAACGGCGCCCAGTAATAGAGCTGTGACCATTATTCCATGTTTGCATACAGAAGCACATTAAATGTAGTACATTTAGCAGCACAGAACTGCTGAGCAATCTTCCCACCTAATGTTGAGTTGTAGTAGGTGCGTTAAAAAGGAAACAAATGTGGACTGATGTAACCTTATCCGACAGCTCTTATAAAAAGTCAGCAACTGTGCTGTGGCAATGAAATCCTGCCAGAGGCTTATGCACTGCAATGAAGTCCTCAAATCCTCTTGCAGACTGCTGGTTGGGTATACTACCCAGGCACTCAAGGCCTGCAGGGTGGCCTTTAAGCCTGGCTGAGCAAGAACTCTCTGTCCTGTCACTTTTCTCCCTACTTTSCTTTCTGTTCCATGTTCAATCACTATTGACAAGCGCTGGAGCACTTCCCTCCAGGAGAATACCTAGCCTGTGCCAGAAGTGCTAATCTAACATTTATCAAAGCTCTGGACACGTATATGTGCTGTCACTTTGTCTGACATGTGGCGAGGTCTGTGCTGACATGGCTTTTGTTGTTGCCCTCGTTGATTGTTATTGTTGATCACTGCAAACAAGCTCCCTTCAAAATCAGCACAGTTCAGAAATCTTAACCTAACCTCTTCACGTTTTTTTTTCCCCCACAAGTGTTTGCTTAAGTTGAATCTGAAGGTAAGTGCTACTTCAGTGAATGTGGCAGATTGGGTCATGACGGGTCCGTCTTTTGAAGGGACAAAGAGGCCAAAGAGGCCGCCATTTGGTCTTGTCAATTATTATGTTGTTTTCTTTTGTGAGTGAATATCAAAATAAAATGCAAGTAACCTGTTATTATTTTGCACTTAAGAAGTGGGGTGTAAGTGGATGAAAATTGATCCAGCAAATTGAAAAGGGGGTTAAGTGTTTTCTGCCCTATCGACTCTGACTGAAATGACAGTTACACAAAACACTCATTTCTCTCCCATTAGCAGATGAAGCCACCACCAAGCATTATTAGGGGGACCACATTGTAGCAGTGCTCTTGGACATTTTGTTTCTGTTAATGGCCCTCAGTCCAAAGAAGAAAGACCACTATTTTGCCTGTAGAAATGAAATTGAGACTTTAAATGTGTTTGATGAACATGTTGTGATTCTCCTCGAAAAGGCAAAGTCGTCTTGGATAGAATCTGTCATGTTGGCAAATGCAACTCAAATTTAATTCTTCTGTGTGTTTTATTTACTGCGGTGGCAAACACTGGGGATCATTCTGAATTGTTTGTACTCTGTCATTACCAAGGGTCATTTCACAGTCTCGCATTATTTGAAATGCTGTCAGCCTGTCATGTAAAAAGCCCGTCTTAGTGCTGCATGGTTGCATTTTTCTGATGGGCTTTACAATAATGTTGATGGGTTAGTGTTTGTGTTCAGAGACCACATGCACGCACCACAGCGGGAGGGCCRTACATTTGATTGATTGTAGTGTTTTAAGGAATGTATAGTATATAATTTCCCATGTGGTTAATTTGAATGCAATTTGTTTCATTGCAGAACTTCTGGGAATCTGAAGTCAAACCAGTGCCATTGTTGATCGTAGTGGTACCTGCCTTACCCAAGGATGCTGCTGTTGAGCTTCATGTAACTGCAGTTGAAGATGATCCCTCCCAAAGAACATCCTATCAAATAACTACACATGTGGGGCATGGATCTATTGAGTGCCACACTGAACTGTCTGCTGATGGCTGTAGTGGGTCTCTGTCGCTTTCTTTGGATGTTCTTGGTGACAAGCTGGAGGCAAGTGATGTGAAATGTATCAGAGAGGAAGTTGGCTCCATATTCGTGAAGGCCATGAAGATGATGAACACTCAGCTGGTGCCACAGTGTGCACGGGTGTTCTACAAGTGCAGCCACACGCTGGTTCATCAGATTGTTGAAGGTATGCCATCAAAGACACTACCCCCAAACAGCCACAACATTAAAGGTAACATATCATGTGAAATCCACTTTTTTAGCAGTTAAATGAAATTTGATGTGTGCTTGGTGGCTCTAGGAGTGCAGAAAAGTTGGATTTTGTTTCTCCTGGTGTTGCGTAGATATCTTTTTATTCTTTTTGGGTGATATTTTTCAACCCGTTCAGTTTTCTCTATTTTGTTTGACGTTTTCTTAACTATGACAGCAAATTATTTCAGACAGAGCTGCCAAATAAGGTCTGGACTTATCAACTACAATATAGTCACCTTCTTTCTCCTCTGGCTCTGGCTCAGACTCTGGCTCCAACATGTAAAGCTGGGTGGGCCAGTCTTCTGTTGTTGACATCTTTTAATTAATTTGTAAATAAAACTTTTTCTGCACCGCTATATAGTGTAAACTGGCTTCTCAAATTACAAGAGACCACTCTGGAAGCTGGAGCAGGGTGGGGTAGAAAGTTTGGATTTAAAGAGACAGCCTCAAAACGAGTTGATCTGAGACACACCTCAGAAAAGGTGTAAAATGGGGGCTTGTGGAGTTACAATACGGAGGAATTGAGACCAAACCATTGCAGTTCTTCTTTTTATAGATCCCAACTGAATGATTTAAATGTGAAAAAGAAGGATTTAAAAGCAGGATACACCTCCTTTAAAACCCTTGTGGGGCTTGAATCATATTATCCGCCTTTTTCCAAGGCGGGGTACTTAGAAATACTCTCCGTTGGTCCGTCCATTTGTTACAATTTCAGACAGCTGTAACTTCCACACATAAAGGCTAAAATACACCAAACTTGGTATGAGTCATCCATGTTGCATGCCCGGCCATTCCATGTGGTCATATGACATAATCGAAGCCCCGCCCCCTGACAACAAGAAGTGACCTTGTTTTGGCTTGGAAACCTCCATCTCCGACCCTCTTGACCTAATCAGCAACAAATTGTGTAAGAACACAGATAAGAACTTGATCTCACTTGCTTTCAAGCACAAAGACTTTTTAGTGAAAGGCAAGGTCATGGCGGTGCAGCTAAGTCAGACATCATGCTGTGGACATACGGTTGGCTCTGAAACAGGGGTTCTTAACCTTTTTGACCTCGGGGCCCAATTTATTGAACATAAAGTGGCACGAGGCCCAGTCAGACATTACCAATGTACAGATCAAAATGATAATTATTCTAATCTAAATCTTGGTTTAATTTTTATTTTATTTACATCATAACTAAACTATCATAACTAACATAACTAAATTAAATACACTTACAGTTTAAAAGTAAAACTCCTGTCAAATAATCACAAAACATGATTATGACAAACATTTTTATATTGTAACCTGCCCATAGCAATTAGTTGAACAAATACAACAGTCAGTCAACAGACCACTCAGGCTTATCAACACACACACACACACACACACACACACACACATATGTACTGTATATACTACTAACAAGAAGATCTTAACAACAGCAAATAATTCATGTCATGACACTAATTCTTCACCCTCCTTTTCTCCATCTGGTCTGTCTTTCAGGACTTGAAGAAAGTTTGAGAAGCTCTTTGGCACAGTCCAGCCCGTCCTTGGCCTTTGTTCCAGTCTTGGACCTGTCAWACTCCCAGATCTTCCACTTGTCCTGCTGGCTCAGTTTATAGAAGTGTATATAGCAACTGACAGCTTTAAACTTCAGTGAAGCCTTTCTGGAGAAATTACTATGAAAATCTAATGACTTAAAAACAAAAGGAGATGTGAAAAGACTTCCCATCACGGACTATTTATAATACTGTAGCTAATTGTTGATGTTTGATTAAAAAAAGTGTGTCTCTAAACGTTCTCAAAGTTTACAGGTTGAAGCCTGTGTTTATTCTATTTTGAACTCCAGAACCTTGGCCAGTGATCCACGTTTTTCCCCCCAGCAGAGTTTAAGACCACAACAGCTGTTACTTTACCTCAAAGATGAGTCTAATGAAACTTCTACAACCTAAAAGTACATACCAGAGGATTACAGAGCATAGTCTACAAAGCAGAGTTTTTTATTTCAGGAGGTGATAAACTTCATCCCCTAATATCTTACTGATTCTGGTGGAGTTTCTCTGAGCTCACGAGCTGACAGTCCTCATAAAGACCCAGCACCTCTGACAGCATCTGTTCAGCTGTAAACCTGTAGATTTACTGTGCGACTGGTTCAAGGCTGTGTGTAATGTATTTGGATGAGGTGAGCGAGTTTCTCTCTCATGCTCCATGGGGCACTAGGTGTGTTATTATTGTGTAATAGGCAATCAGCACCAAGCACCTGAAAAGATTAAGCCTCTTTATGTTTTCTATTGATTCAAAGGCAGCCTGGTTAATAGAAGAAGGACACGAGCGCGCAAGGCTTCAGGGCAAGTGTGTGCTTTGTTAAGGAGTGTGCGCACGTTGAGGGGATGTCGGTGGTCACAGTGTGACAATATTGGAAGAAAATAACACCATTAACCAATGCTCCTGGAACATTTGTTTTCTCAAAGAGCGTGAACCATATTGATAATCTAAGTTTGAAAGCATCTTCACCCCGGCGAATCTCTTCATTGTGCTCGTGGAGCCGAGTGGGGTATTGATCTTCACCCAACACGATGTTCTTCTGATTGTTGTCATCAAAAATTGAACAATAGAGGCAGCCGATGGAGCCTTAAGAGCTGTATTGATTGTTGAAAAATACGAAGACGCAATTATTTATGAGCACAAGCGTCTGATTCTGCATAAATATACAGTGTGTGTGTTAACGTTCAGCTGAAATAAACACAACCTTCCACTGGAGGGAGATTCTGAATTTTCGATTGATGCTGCTGTTGATTTGTTTCTCAAACTTTTTATTTTATTTTATTTTTTTTGTTATAGTAAATGTCTTAACATGTATTCAAACATCTGTAAATCGTGTAAATAGTTGTCTGATTATAAACTTAGCACAAAACGTAAGGACGTGTTTGGTAGATTAATTCTTAGTTGTAACTATGCTTCTTGGCAATAAATCTTATACCGTTGGAAAGCCTGTTAATTTTCACAACACAACACAAATTTCCTGACTTTTTGTGGTAAGTATATTTAAGTGGTTGTAATACATGCAGATAACGTCAGTTCACAAACATAGCCAAACTAGGAAATTAAATTATTTTATTTTGAATTTCTGTTTGTGTCTGAATGCCAAGCCTGTGAATATGAATCACGCTGAAGGAGCATGTGTTACGAAAAAAAAAAAATGAAAATTAGGATAGCTTATTTTAAAACGTATTTTTATTATACTTTATATTTAATATAAATACATACAGCAACAGCCTTCCAGAATAATTTTTTTAAAGAAAACAAGCCCATAGAAGGTGAACAAAACAAATAACAGGTGGTATACAGCATATATTCGGGGGGACGACAAAACTAAGTGTATATTGGCATCATTATTTCTTAGCTTAGACAAGATGAACCTAATTTTCTTCAAGTGAAGCACATTTCCAATTTTTTCAGCCATATTTTCAAAAGTAGGGCTTTATCAGACTTCCAGCATAAAAGTATCACCTTTCTGGACATGAATGTAACCCCATAGCCTATATTTCTTGTCCCTTGCCCAACCTGGTTTAGGGTTAGGGTTTTTTTTTTTTTTTTGTTTTTTGGTTAAAAATATTTATTTTAAAATAACCAATAAAAATGTCAAATATCATTCCATAGGGATCATTTTTAATTATCCATAATGAAAGAAAATAATTTTCAATAAAACACAAATAAAGCATATGTTTTCTGTGCTATTTTTGATTATAAAATATTTAATACTGCAAAGGAATTCACATGTTCAAATTTCACAGCACAGACGAGCACAAGAATTTACTTCACGCTGACCACTTTTCCATCACACATTATATTCTGCCTTTCAGCAGACGTGTTTTTATACACACTCTGGCAAAGCCACAAGAATAGCCTCAGAACCAATGTGATGGCCTGTGGCAGACACGTTTCTTTGTGTCCTCACCGCAGTACTGCCTCACTAAATGAATAAAGACAGGGTGACATTTATCTTTTTTTCCCTTTCATGTGTTTTGTCAAATGTACATTTTCTACCAAGCTGACCTGCAACCACTCCACAAAGAAACAGGCTGCAGTGGCTAATATTGTCCTTTGTGTGGAGTGTACCAGCCTGCGGCCCTTGTCATTGTGGCCTTGCACATGGACTTTAACTGTGTTTATTCCTCCGGGCAAACCCTGCTGATGTCTGTGACTCTTCTTTTTTTTTTATCCCCACAGCAGTGGGCTACAGTAGGGTAGGCTAGTTTAGGTCTGGCCTTGACGCATGAGACGCCTCTTCACATCGTGGTCCTCTTGCCACACTGAATGTGTTTTTTTTTTTTTTTTTTTTAATGTTGGGATCTTTTTGTGTGTTTCATGATGTATTGTTTTACTTTCCCAGACGAATTGTGAAAGCAAGTCTTTATGGCCACACTATTCACTTTAACTTTCTCTGCTGAACACAACTAACCAACACAATCTGTTCAGTGGTGTCTGCTTCCCTCTTGTGGTCGTTTGAAGCACTACAGACTGGAAAATGTCTACTCCTTCGCTTCACTGTTTCCAGTGTTGTCTCTAAGAACTGTCATTATGAAAGCACTGTTCCCAAAGTTGGGGTCGGGACCCAATGTGGGGTCCTGAAACATCAAGGTAGGGTCCTGACAGGATTTTCTGAATTAATTACATTTTTGCCTTAGTTGTTACAAAGGAGTGAGGTTAGTATATTTAAAATGGATAAATGTAGTATAAAAATATTGTTACTATGCCCATGTTTTGTTGACCTGATACAAATGTTTATCATCCAAAAATAGTTGTGGGCACAGGTCTCTGCTGCTGTTGTTTTGTGGGTCAAAAGCTRAAAAGTTTGGGAACCACTGCACTTTGGTTCCCAAAGCTGGGCTTGGGACCCAATTATGGGTCACGAAGCACCTTGGATAATCTCCAGAAATCAATTTAAAGGGTAATAAAATAAGTGATGGTGTAATATTTCCCTAAAATTATTACAAAACCACAAAATAAGTATAAATATGTATTTATATTTGTGCACAAGCTGTTTAGATTGTCAAAAAGCCTGTGTTTTTAGGGTTATTAACAAAGTTCATGTACTCAGACCAGTAATATTTGGGGTCACAAGTTTTTGCCATGGATATTTTGTGGGTCAGAAGATAAAAAGTTTGGGAACCTCTGGTATAAAGTACCTCAAAGTGATACTTGAGTAAAAGYACAAGTATCTTATCATAAAAATGCTTTGGTAAAAGTTAAAGTCTTCGCTAAAAATATTACTTGAGGAAAAGTCTTAAAGTATCGGAAATATTTTGTACTTAAGTATCAAAAGTAAATTTCTGACACAAAATCTACTTAAGTATTAAAAGTAAAAGTACTGAGTAAAACTGAGAAGTTAGATTTTCAAAAATGACATTTATTGGGAGGTGACTTCTCCAAAAAATATTTTTTGTAATGGCACGCAGCTGTGATGGGTTGTGCATAAGCTAATACGGTGTCAGAATGGTATATATTTATACTTCTCAACCAACTACAGTTAAATTCGCTCCATCTAGGAGACACAATTTAAAGATAGTATTTTTTAAGTAATAACAACTAGGAATAAAATAGGAGTAACGACTTTCTACTTCTTACCTTTTTAAAAATGTAGTGAGTAGAAAGTACAGGTAATTGTGTAAAAGTGTAATAAGTAAAAGTAAAAAGTATACTGAAAAATAATTATTCAAGAAAAGTACAGATAACCAAAATTTCTACTTAAGTACAGTAACAAAGTATTTGTACTTAGTTGCTTTACAACTCTAATRTTTCTAACCATGTCCTCAGAAAAACTGCCAGGTAATAAGTCTATCAAATATGTAGTGTTTTTTAACAATATCTTTAGATGGGCAGCTTTTCATATGACAGTCCTTAAAGTGTAAATGTAATAAATGCAGGTTATTTTCAACAACAATACTGCGCAAAGCTGTGCTTAAAATATGGCAGATCCATGTCAAATCAAGAGTGGTGCTTTCATAATGACAGTTCTTAGAGACAACTTTGTTAAAAATGAACCCAAAATAACTGAAAGTGACCAGAAGGATAAACATTTTAATTATACTTGCCAAGATCTAAGAATAACATCTGTTGTAAAAGCGCTCTGATGCATTTCAGTAATCCAGGTAGAAAAATAAAAAAGAAAAAATAAGTAGGTCCTCTGGATGGGTCCTTCTTTAGTGAAACGTTTCGTCTCTCGTCCAAGAGACTTCTTCAGCCAGGCCCCAACGATAACCAACACAAAGAGGGAAAAAAGAAAAACAAGGGTACGTTGAGCCCCGCCTGCACTCACTGTGTTAAGCGATGGCCCTCTTTTGCATGTGACCACCGGTAACCTGTTTGTCCACCATGTGGAGGCAGGGCTTATAAGGCTGAGTTCACCTGAAACTCATCAGACTGAAGAGGTCTCTTGGACGAGAGACGAAATGTTTCACTAAAGAAGAATAAGAACCCATCCAGAGGACCTACTTATTTTTTCTTTTTCATCTGTTGTAAAACTACATACTGTTCCCATCAAACAGACAGATAAAACAATTTATTGGCAAATTACTACATGACACTGTGAGAATAGAAGCTTGTATTGATAAACTAATAGGAAACATCACATGTTCTGAATATGGGTGTTCATGTAATTTTCATTTAAAACGTTTATCTTTATTATAACATTTTAGTCCTTAGTAGGTTTTTTTTTTCTATGCATAAAACAACATTTACTTTAACATTAAATTGTAGACGTATATTATTGTCACCTTGACAGCACATAACAAATTATGGTCAAACTCTGCCTTTATATATAGCATTATTTTTTTGTGATATCAGTTACAACAACTAAAAAAAAAATAGCTTCGAACAAGAAGGGTAGCGGAACAAAATATATATAGTTTTGTACACAGGGACGATTATAGTAACGTACCCATCCAGGAAGTTGATCGCATACAGCGCGTTTTTGTGTACATGCGTATCCAGCCGTAGTTTCATCACTCATGCCAAATAAAACAACTTAGAGGTTTGAAAGCTTCCCTTATTGTATTTTAGTGTGGCGTTTTGTTAAATGTTGATAGTAACGTTTTCGTTCAAAACCATGCTATCGAGCTAAGTGAAGCTAACTAGCCTAGCTGGTCTGTTCATTGTGAATGCTAACTTTACTACGTATGTTGAAGATATGGGAAAGCAGCTAATAATAAACGCACGTACAAGCACGTTTTATTAAAAAAAACATATCATCTGTTGATCTAGACATTTTAAACTTATCTCAACACTTGTGGTTTTCTGCATTTCGGCGTTTTTGCTTTGATTACAGTTTTATGGCAAATAATAATTCATTTCTGATTTGTTTCCACAGTTGTCGTTTTAACTGTATTAAGATGGAAACAGCTGGAAAAGAAACTCCTGCTAAGAAGACTGCAACGCCTTCAGTGTCTCAAATAAATGCAGAATATGTCACGCAGGTAGTCACTGGAAACATTTATGTTATGAATTATAGTTTTTTTTTTAACTGTTAATGTGTTTTGTGTACTCTGAACAGATTGTACAAATAATAAGTCAAACTGGATAATGTTTTCGTCTTGGTGGCTTTATGATGTTAACAGTTAAAAATGTAGAAACTAAAAACACTCAGATATTTATAGCTTGTTACTTTTAGGTCATTAGCTATATACCAATCAAAAAATAAAATAAAAACACAAGTCCTATACATTAACTATATGCATTTTGTCTAGTTTATGCATGCTTTACCTCTTTCTTTCATTTTTATTTTTATTTTTTTAGTTGGCTAACAAATATTGGGCTCCTCATGCAAAGGACAAACTACCATTTGACCCTAAGGTGAGTTATTCAAAGCTGCAATAGAAATGTGTTACTTAAAAAATAAATAGCAGTCAGCTTATGTCAACTAAACTGTTTTAAACTGTTGAATTGGATGTTCTACGTCTTGGGATATAGTGTGGTGTTAGGCACCGGTACAGCTGTCATGTAGAGACATTTTCGCAAGAAAACTATTCATGCTTTGTGGAAATTTACGGATGTTTTTTTGTGTTTTGTACAGTACATCTTGGCAGGATGCGTTGTTTTGTTGCTGTTCTCCACTGTTGACACAAGGAGGGTCTTTTCTACAATTGTACCCTCTCTCACAGTATACTTTGGTTATTCAGTCCATTTTTAAGCATCCTATAATAACATACACTAAGGCTGCATGATATCAAGAAACCAGCGATGTGCGAGAACAGTGCTTAATATTGCAATGACTAGTAATAAATCAAAAAATATACAGTGTTGATGTTTTTATGCTCTGGGTTCAGAGCAAAAAGCAACTACATACATGTTTTCCATTACAACATGGAGTGATTATGATTTGATGTTTTTTCTCTGGTCCATTTTGTCCATCTAGACTGATGCTGACAAACCACTTAAATGCAAACATTAGAGACAATAATTTATTGCATTTTATGCATTTTTTGTCATATGCATATTGCACTGGCTGTTTTCTCAATAATGATAAAATTGTGATATATTGTGCTAGGGTTGGGCATAATCGTATCGTGTGCAATTAATCGTCACAAAAACAATCGATTATTTTTTGGCACTTGACGATTAATACGATTAATGCCACCAGGCAGACTGACTGGGGATTACTCCGGTCAGTCCCGTCTGTGCTCCTCTCCGCTTCAAATATGACGAACATTTTAAAAAAAGGTCTGTAATTTATTTATCTATCAATACAATTTAAAAATTGATGCCATTTCACACATTGCACTGATGCAGGAAGGAGGCATCTTAGACCCAGCTTGAAACATTGCGTGAAACAGGAATGGGAAATCGTCCCTATTTTCAGAGCAGCAGGTCCGCTTATTATAAGCGACAGCTTCTTTTTTTCTTAAGTCGCTTGTAAATTCGGTGAGTCGCAGGCTGCATATTTTTTTTTTTTTTTGGGCTTATCTTTTAACRTGAGTTGCTTATTTTGTGCTTGTCTTTCTTTCCGAATGACGTTCCTGAGACACCCCACGCCGGGAACCCCCCTTCTGCTTTAGCATACATCACTGCATGGGATTTCTTTACCAATGTAGTCCAATGCAGAAAAAAATCCTACGTTGTTTATCCACAAACTGGTCCAGGATTAAGCTCAAAAGTTTTTATCAGCCAGATTTTACCATGAAAATCGTCTGTTTTATCCACTTTTATGAGGTTTTGGCCATTTGACTCGGTTTGACGATCTTTATAAATCGTTGCTTCCTGGGAACGAGTCGCTTTTCTCTGTCTTTTTTTTAAGCGAGGGGTTGAAGCAAAAGCAGCATCTGAGCGCTTTCAGCACAAACAAACAATCCCACAAACTTCAGACCAAGAGTATGTGTTCTTATGTGGAGGGGGGTGAAAAGTTGGACCCACTCTTCAAACACACTAGATTACAACACACCAGAGCCCAGAGTGACGGGGAAAAGCAGGGGTGAGGCAGTGTGCTCCGGTCCGGTTCAGAACTGCTTAAAGTAATTTGTTCAAATGTATAATTGTCATGAATTATTTGTTTTATAACTAAACGTTATAATATAGCACTATTTGGGTCATTTGTGGCGCACCAAAGCAAGAAGATGACGTGAAGAGACGCGAAGAGGAGCCGCGCATGGTGGTGCCGACTCCGAGAAAAAAAAAAAAACAGAGACGCAGCACTGTATATTAATTATTTTATTCCCTCATTTGCACAGATCATGATGATGATGATTAAAACATTTTAATTTACTGAGAAGGGGGCATTTAAAAATTAKTTTACATCCCTGRCACGGCATTTAATTAATTAATAAAGATCGCCCTTTCAAAAAACAAATCGCATTCCAACCCTTCAATCGCCGAAAGACGATTGAATCAAAAATCACGCCATCCCTAGTGTGAAAGAGATTTTTGTTAAAGTTAAAGGCACATGTCAAGTAACGTTAATGCAAGGAAGCTGACTGCTGCCAGTACATTATGTGTTCTAGCTGTTCTCGCTAACAAAATGCAAGTTTTTGTTTGTTTCTTAAATTACTTTCTCTTCTTCTATTTGCTGTCTTTTGATGACTTCATATCATTATGTGTATGTACAGGTGATGGAAGATGTTTATGAACAAGAGATTCTCATGTCGAAGTAAGTGACTATACACAGGGTTCCCACGGGTCCTTGAAATCCTTGAAAGTTTGTGAATTTGAAAAAATGATTTCGACACTTGCCCTTGAAAGTCCTTGAATGTTTTTTGGGGATTGAAGTTATCTATTCACACAACAGATTTTATTATCTGTAAAAAAAATTAAATTAAAAAAAACTTACATTTGTTGCGGTGAATAACTCAGGATTACAGTAAACTGACGTGGCTTTCAACAAATAATGTGAGCCATAGTCATAGTTTTACCCAATCAGAGCAGAGTAGGGCAGGTCATTCTTTCTGGGCCCAGGTGAGAGCACCACAGCTCCTCCTGTCCTCACCGAGGGTCTGGACATGTTCACATCCCCTCCTCCCAAACTGAGCTGCCAAACCTCCCAGGACATAATTACATGTCTGTGTATTGTAGATATGAATAGGGTATACATTTAATCCACTTCTTTCATTGATTCCCAGTTTTTCATTGAACTTACATGATATTAAACCTGTTCATTGGTAACATTCTGCGGTAGCACAAGGTAATTGCCATCGTGCTTGGTTCTTGAATTTGAGGAAATTGGTACTGGAAAGTCCTTGAAAGGTCCTTGAATTTGTTGTTGACCAAGGTGTGGGAACCCTGTATACAACATATTTCACTGATGTTACTTATTTAAATCAGTTGAACACATTTCAGTTTTGACTGTCTTATCTTTGTATCTTCTCCACAGATTCGCCATCCGAAAAATTATGCTGCTTGAATTCAGGTGACTTATTTTAAATTTTGCTGTTTTTGTTTTGTTTTTGTTATTGCGACAGCTGCAAAGCAAAAAGCAACACGATTTGCAGTGTAGGTAATAACTTATGTTTCTTCTCTTTTAGTCAATACCTTGAAAATTACCTTTGGGTAAACTATGCACCCGGGGTGTCCAGCAAAGCCTATATCATGTCCATTTGTTGCATCGTTAATGAGAAGTTCAGAGAGAACGTTCCAGCGTGGGAGGTAAGACAAAAAAAAAAAAAACAATTAAATTGTCTGTTTTGACAAATTTTGATTGTTTATCAACCACTCTGTAATTCAAGAGTCTTTAGTTGTTTAGACGTACATATATGTTTCCTAAAAATACATGCACAAAGTTTCTGTGAACATTTACACAACGTAATCTTTGCTGTTGTGTGTTTTTTATAAGGTCTTCAAGAAAGAGCCTAGCCATTTCCCGTTCTTCTTCAAATGTGTGATGGAGGCAGTGTTGGCAGGAGAGGAGGCTGGTCTTACTGTGAAGGAACAAACTGTGCTTCTGGTCTTTCTGGATCACTGCTTTAACAGTCTGGTTTGTATCGCTATTGCATTCAATACCTGCTTTAACCTATTAGGGAAACAAATCCTTCTTTATATTATTTATTTATATTTGTGTGTATGTGTGCTTCCCTGTAATATTTATAAGCTTTATATTTATAAAAAATATATATAATTAACCACAATGCAATATGAATTTATTTAAATGTTGTATTCTTACACTATCAATAAAATCAAGAATCATTGTGAAACATTTCAAATATGTTAATTAAGCTATATAATTCTGTTTTTCTTGTTGTGATAGTTTAAAGCCACTAGAATAATTGCAACTTTGTTCACGTGATGTAAATATATACCTTACCCAAGATTCAGTTCAAGGATTTTTTTTGAGGTAGTTATTAGTGTTACCCACTAGGTGGCAGTAGTAGACAGGGTCAGCTGTTCTGTATTTTGAAAAGCCACTGCATCACTTTAAAATCTGCTGCGATAGCCTGCTGCACATCTAATGATACCATAAAGACTTGTAAATATTTTATTTGCAGACTTTTATCATGAACTATAGTGCTTTTTAAAAAGTGGCATACACAGTGGATTTTGACATTTTTGTCTTTGTCTTTTTTTCTTTCTGCATGCTCCTTCCTCCCAGGAGGTAGATTTGATCAGAGAACAGGTGCAGCAGCTCATCTCTCTGCCAATGTGGATGTGCCTTTTACCAGTAAGATGTCAGCCTGTCACTTGAATTAAGCTCTTCTCGTAATCATTGGCATCCCAAATAATACTGTACAGCTTTATTATCAGAATTAGGAACTGACTGTTTTCTGTGACATCAGTTGTAGATAAAGTGATGTCCCATTTAATCTTGTTTTTTTTTATATTATTTCTGCCTGATTTTATATTTCATCACATTTGCAGTCCAGACTCCAGCATGAACTGAAAAAGGTTCCAAAGCTGCAGAAGTTCTGGAATCTAATCAAGAAGAAGTTTGATAAGATGGATCCTGACGCAGCCGTGCAGTAATGATATTCTTTTGCTTGCGTTTTCAAAAAATCAATACAGACTTTATGAAATTATCATTTTTGTTCCACAAGTTTTCAGACCCTTCCTAATGGATGTTCTTTTTCTTTTTTTTTCAGGGCGACCAAAGAAAGAAACTTCCTCTCATCTCTCATTAAAAAGTTTCTTGGAGTCCTTATGTCGATTACTTCTTCAGGTAATATGGAAAAAGTGCTTTTATCTCCCCTGAGAAATGGGGCTGGGACATGTATATCAAAGTAAGCTGAACTTACAAATAAAAGTTTATTGTATTTAAACTGTGGAGAAGATGTATCCCATGTGTTGATCCTTACCTGAAATTAATACTATGTGCCTTTTATTCATTTTTATTAAATAAAGACGTAAATAAGCCTTATTTAAAAAAAGGTTCAGCAATGTTTAGCAGTAGATTCTGTTTATTTGAAATTCAATATTCTTTGTTTTGTAATCACAGTTTCAGTTGCTCTGCTCTCGTTTATTCTAAGTCGTGCCACTGCCAAAGGAGCATGCACTCCTGCTGTGGTACAGCCACAGGCACGGCCATCGTGCTTTAATGCAGGCCGACACATCGGCCCCCTACCTGAATGCTAAAAACAGAATGTGTGTTTTAGATGGAATTCAACACTGACAGACTGGATTACAATCTAAAGCCCAGCAAGAGCCTCATTGCTCTGATCCTTGTTGAATGCCTCAAACTTTTAATTGCACACACTTATACATAAGTATGCCTGATGAGGACTGAGGTCCCAGCATGCTCCAGCGCTGGTCAAGCAGCCTCTCTCCAGTCAGCACGACACAGTGTTGTTCATATGCATTTGCTACCATAATATTCTGAGTGAGAACTAAGCATCCTTGTTTACATGACATCCAACAGTTGCTGTTTTTTCTGTTTTTATTTTGAGATTTGCTTCTTGTTTTTTGACTTCATCATCAAACAGGATGCATTGTCAAGTCTAAGTTAAAGTGGTAACTCGAGGTGTCCTTCAATTTTCTGCAGGGTCTATATCCATGGACAAAGTGCATTACTGTGAGAGATTCATTGAGCTCATGATTGATTTGGAGGTAAGACATAACTTCCTGCTACACAGTCTTATTCTGGATTTACAATCTTTTGACTTTTGAAAAATTTCTTCTGGGATTAAGTTAAACTAAGTGTAAGTCTGAGGTGCATTTGCTGTTGAAATTATGAGATCTAGACATTGTTTATTTTTTATTTTTTGTGGAGCTATTTTCATTTTGTTTTTTACATTTATAACACACACAGGTCAATAGACAATGGATAAATGTCCAGTCCTAGGTTCACTTTATGTGCTTCTGTTATGGCTGATAATAAAGCTATTTACTGCTAGAAACATGAGTCTACATCAGAGTATGGCAAAAGTTATGTTCACTCTAATGCCAATTGTTTGGTATATCATGCTTATGGTTTTGAGATCTATTATATTTTTACTTGAATATAAGGTTTGTTATTAACATAAAGTGCATTCAGTATTTTTATTTTTCAGTTTTTGTTGTGATTACAAGTGTTGTAAAATTATGATACAATGTTAGCTTAAAAACTAATTAGGAAATGCAAAGGAGGGATTTTTTGTCATAGACTCAAACTTACCAGTGAGAATGGTGTGACTACATGTTATCACATAAGGTTGTTATTTTTGCTTTGGTGGCATTTTGTCTGTTAGCGGTGAGGGAGGTCAATAGATTTCATCTTGCTGTCTGCTGACATGCTGGCCTTGCTGTTCCTGGCAGTGGTTAGGGGCCAGCCAGCTGACTGTCTCCACAGACTTCCCCTGTCCTTCAGTGCTATCTTTTTACAAAGCTTCAGTTGCCTGATATCCATACTTCCTCTCTCTGATGGCGACCTGAAAATGAATGCATGGAAACGGATCWGTGTTGCTTTCTTTTTTCTTTTGCTGGCTGCTAGATGAAAGATGGCTGCTGGATATCAAGGCATCTGTTCTTTCTGTGTTTGAATGTCTGCTGTGTTTGAAGAGCTGCTTTTAATTGTATAAAAAATGTCTTTTACTTGTGTTTTGCATTCTACATTTTTTCCCCTCATTGTTACTTCATTCCTTGTCAGTTCTTTCAGTCATTACGGTATGATTCCATATGCTTCAGTCATGTTTTCACTCAGACTTTTCATCAACATGCTCAGAATCTCTTTGTTATATTTTCTACAAAGCAGATGTGTTGTCATATTGACAAGTTGTCTCACTTCTTGCAGCTACAAGAAAGTTGCTATAAAAGTTAACTGAGACAGGTTTTATGTTTTTTACATCTTACTGATCACATGCCTGACTTCAGCCTTTTTATCACAAGTGTCAGAACAACAACAAAAAAGCATTAGTACATGTTCATTCAGTACTTGATTTTAATGCTGCCATCAAGACATGTTTAATGCAAACATTTCAATCTGTCTTCAATTATTTTAATCCGGAACTCTGAAATATATAATACTCTTGTTTTGTTCTCACAATTTTCCTTTTTTATGTTTGAAATCARGTATTGTCTCTTTAATTAAAAGCATGTTCAAATGTTTAAACCCAGTTTTGTGTACGTATAGGCGCTGCTTCCTACCAGGCGCTGGTTCAACACAGTGCTGGATGACTCTCATTTGGTGGTTTACTGTCACCTCTCTGGCCTTCTCAAAAAAGAGAAGGAGGGACATCTCTTCTGTCAGGTAATGCAGTTGTAAATATGCACTTTCATTGACAGCATTCATACATATATGAATGATTTTTATGTTAGGATTTATACTTGCGTATATTGTTTAATTTTGTAGCTTCTTGACATGCTGAAATTCTACACTGGTTTTGAGATCAATGACCAAACAGGAATTGCCCTGACTCAGAAAGAGATGACCACTTTGCACTATGACAGGATCACCTCACTACAGGTAAATATACAAAAATGGATGGCTAGTTGAATTTTATTGGCACATTTCTACAATCTTTATTTCTTCTTCGCTTYATTTACTATTACTGATATGTCGGTGATGTATTCCAAATGTGTAAATGCAGAACATAAATATCGCATGAAAGAGAGCTAAATATATATGTGAAATAGTACTGCAAGCTTCAGCTCCATGTGATGTTTTGAAATTAGTAAAAAAAAGTAAATAATTTTTTTGAGCTTTACCTTGTTTTCGATTAGTTTTCTTTAAAATACTTGTGCTGGTCATTTTATGAGTCATATTTCTTCAAGTATGCAGGCAAACATTAGCACATTGAGTTACCTCTGCGAAAAGTGCTCTATAAATAAAGTTGAGTACGTTTGAAAATGAGTCTATGAATTTTCTGTATGTACTTTTCTTCCCCAGAGAGCCGCATTTGCTCATTTTCCAGAGTTGCTCGACTTTGCTTTGTCTAATGTAGCAGCAGTGGACACTCGAGAATCCCTAACCAAACTCTTTGGGCATCTCAGGTAAATGAAAACACTAAGAAAAGAAAAGTGGTTGCATATGTACTGAGTTGCAGTTTGACGGTGTGTAGAGGAAGACTTTTGTGATAAGATATATATGGTTTCTACTGGTCTTGCTAGTAAAACGTTTCTCAAATTGGTACAGATCTTTCTTTACTTAAATAGTATTAACTGTTACTAGTGTTTCAAAATTACCTTTAGTATGTTTGTCTTAGATACATCCTCCTAATTACTATAAAGTACACATTTAAGTTAAAATACAAGCATACACAGACTATTAACCTGCACTTCGCTATAATATAGTAGAACTGCTATTACTGCCTGACTTCCTTGCTAAACGGCAGCTAGTGAACCCTTGAACGGGCAGCTGGTACCAGCCAGAGAGAGGCATGCCTCATTAATTTAATCGATTTGCAGCGGCTCGGGAATAAACTCTTTGAACAGCTGTGTTTGTCAGATCATATTAACTTGCCAAAGAGCCAAAAGCCACCCTCACTTTGTGAACAGACCTGTTTTTCAGTGGCTGTGTGTGTCTTTTAATTTGTACCAAAGTAAATGGGACTGAAACAATCACTAATATACTTGTAATTTTTTAAAGCGCCAAGGTTTAGTTTTTGTCTTAGACATTAATATTGCGATATTGTAAAATTTCTGTCAAACTTTTCTGGAAGCAAGAAATCTTTGTGCTTCCACATTAAAACCTTCTAAGCTGAAGTCAAATACTTGTTTTGCCTGTGTCTTTACAGTATTTTTGTCATGATTCCTATAAAATGTTTTCATGACTCGTTTTACAATTCGTAACATTTTGATTTTTATTTGTGTAATGGATTGCAGTTGCTTAAAGTGCACACTAAGTTATTTTGAGTAACTGAAAGGGTTATAAGTCAAGTGAACTGTATCAGCCAAAGACTTGGCTAAACCTGTTTTTGTGTTGAAGCTCGGCTCTTTTCCCCAGAATTAGGGTTTTGGATAAAGCAGGAACTGCATTGTTCAAAGCTTCGCAACTGTCACCAAAACTCCTCCAGGGTAACTCTAAATATGCCGATTAGATTTAACAAGGCATTTTTCATCCCAACAACTCTTGCTAATGCCAGTTTATTCCAGCTGTGCTACTCATCAGCTAAGCTCCCAGTCAACTGCCACTCTGAATTTATCCGCTAAGTCCTGCAAACACACACTTATATTGTTGCACAGCCTGCCCACACTCACACACATGCACACAGACACACACTGACACTTCTTTCAGCAATTTAAAACATGGCAAGTGCATTTCAGGCCAAAGCAGAAGTTGAATACATGATCAAAGAGAATGTTTCACAGTGAGATACTGAAAAAAAGAAAAGTGTGTCACTCATCACTGTACAAAATGTCAAAATAAGTGGGCTAATTAGTTCTTTATATGATATATTTTCTTGTTTGAGAAACATTTTTTATTTATTTATTTATTTGTTTATTTATTTTTGTCAGCTTCACGTTTAATTAACTACTGGTGAAACTTTTAATAAAATTGCCATAGGTAAGTTTGATATTAGTTACTAGTTAAAAAAATAGTTGAACATAAGTATATTTTTAAGTACTGCATTGGAAAAGATTTAATGACTACCTTGAAAAAGTATTCCTCAATTTTGTGAAAAAAAAATTCATGGAGCATTTCAAAATGTTTGCTTCAGATTTGCTTGATGATTACTTGATATTGTGTGACTGTATGTCTGTAAGTGCTTTGATCAATGCGGTGGTTCCCAATTTTGGGGGACACTAAAAACTGTAGGGAACAAGTGGAAGCCTGCAGCCAGCTCTCATAAACAACCATCTCATTTCCAGACAATACTAGGTAATGTGATTGTTGGTTTTAAAGAGTAAACTTGTTGTAGACCCTCCATACCGTACCCTGCCAAAAGTTCAGCTGTCAGTCCTGACCTGGTCTAGTCATCACCCTTATGTGGAGTGAGTTGTTGTGCTGCTACTGTTTTGTTGCTAAGGGAAGGACTCACAACCCGTGCTAGGTCGTCCAATGGGCAACCAAAGTGCAGCTTTGGCAGAATTGCAACCCCACTGCTCGATTGTAGCATCATGAGTAGTATGGATGCAGATGCACGGCCACAGTTGTTGGTGCCACACGTGGTTGTCACAACGTGTTCAGGACCTGTCCTTTGTTGTGCACCAGACCCTGCCTGTGTCACAGTGCCTGTATGTAGAAAGCCGCACCTCAGCTTTTTGAGATGGAGATGGGCTTTGATTTTCATAATCCTGTGTCCCAGCACACCCTCAGCCCCTAACACAGATGCTGACTGAGCAGGAGTGTAGTGTGAAACCAAACTACAATTGCTTGGTGCCGCAGAGCTAATGGGCATGGAGAAATTGATAAGGCCGTGACTTCTCACATTTACAGTGTCGTTAGCAAAGACATGTCTCCAAAGATATGAATGTACTGTCCAAAAAGAGCTAGACCAACAGATTTCTTTTTGCAGATAGGATGTAAAAAGTACTGAAATAATTTTAAATTTATGGTAACACGAAGAGACAGAAGATTGTCTCTGTTTTCGCTGCTTCAATTTTTTTTATATATTTTTTTTAATCACAAAATTGTTATCTCTGTACTGCAGTTCGTTATATCTGAATGTTCTTGTCCCTGCTCTGGATAAGAATGACAGCTAAATTTGTAGTTTGTAATTGTCCTTTTTGGGGGCTTATTAACCACTTGTTCATGTCCTCTTTCTTGGCAGTCCCAGCATGCTCCACCAGGTGGCCTCATATCTGTGTCTGCTGCCTGAGCTGCCTGAAGGGCAAGAAACAACCTATGAGAAAGAGTTCCTCCTTGAGATGCTGGTAAGTGCAGTATAGACTTTTTTTTGCATACATGTCCATGTGATTATTTGTGGTGTCGATCTGGACTAGTAGTGATACATTTTATATTTTCTAATTAATAAGCATAAAAAATGACTTTGTTCAAGATGCCTTTCTAAACGGTGATTTTTGCAAATCAAATATTGCATGGAATTTCTTTTCACATGTATTTCTAGACAATATTTAGCAATTTGTCACTGATAAATTGAAAAAGAAGTGCGTCACAGCTTAAAAACCAATGACAATTCAAATAACCTAAATATATTAAATATTGGGCAAAATATTATTAGCTATTTTTTAGTACATAACTTTTTATAGTAATGTGCAGTTAATAAGAAAGCGAAAGCATCACTTCACTCCTGTTTCCATCTCAATGAATGTAGTCTGTCTTGTCATGAGAGAGGAAGTCAAGGTGGCAGAGGAGCATTTTGTTATTAACCCAGATTCTGTCTGTGCATGTTATCTGTGTCATTTCTACACACAGGTGTCCCGTCACGAGCGCAGAATCTCTCAGATTGAGCAGCTCAACCAGATGCCCCTTTATCCAACAGAGAAGATAATCTGGGATGAAAACATTGTCCCAACAGAATACTACTCTGGTGAAGGTCTGTTGGTTGTATATACAGTAATTGTGTGAACTGTGTTGTGTTTGTGATAAACATTACAAAAGATCTCTAAACTATTTTTGCTTTATGCACCATCCTAGCATTTTCTTTCATGTTTTTTTAAGTGATACATTCAATGTTTTTTTTTTTTTTGAAGCAACATCTTTTAAAAATGCGATGTTATTTGGTTTATGACTTGCACATATGTATGACTTTTTTCTTTTGTTTGTGTTTATATTATGTCCATATTGATTGTATGTACTTGTATGTCATGCCAGGCTGTCTAGCTCTACCGAAGCTAAATCTCCAGTTCCTGACACTCCATGACTATCTGTTGAGGAACTTTAACCTGTTTCGTTTGGAGTCTACTTATGAGATCCGGCAGGACATCGAGGATGTGGTGTGGAGAATGAAACCATGGTACGATGTCTTCAGTTGGTTAAGAAAAATTTGAAGTATTTTGTTTAAACTGTTCTATCCTGAAAGGACAATCCTCTTTTTGGCAAGCAAGCTACAATTAACTCATCTATTCATGGCAGCCATGCACATTAATACAGTTTTTTTTTAAATATAATACCATTAAAACAGATTTTTTTAACATTAATGTCTGCATTATGTCAAGTGATGTGAAGAAAGAACAAGTTACTACAAGAAAGAAGGTAAGCAGTAGTGCCATGTGCTGCCCTAAATTCAAATGATTTTCAGTCTTGAGTATAACTTTTAGACAATCTATGACAACTTATGAAATGTTTATCCAACATAAAAGATGTCTAATCTGAATATGAAATGAAAAAAATCTACCGGAAGTAGAGCTGGGCGATATGGCCTAAAATCAATATTGTGATATATTGACCAGTTCACCTGGATAAAGATAAATGTACGATAACTCTTACCACCCCCCACCACACACAAGTACACGGTATAGTATAGTCATAACACTATACACTGTGTCCATGTTCTTAGTCAAAGTACACAGTTTAGATTTTGAACAGCTTTTCTGTAGTTTATATTTGTCATTTTAGTGTTTTTAATATTTAATAAAAAACTTTTTTGGCAAAACTTGTCAGATATAGTGTAACAAATATTTAACCATCTCCATATTATAACTAYTCAGTGCAAACAAACACATTATGTATAATTTTATATTTAAAAAATATGTGTTTGTACTGCACAAAATAACAAATACATGTTTTTATTTGTTAGACTGACTGACTTCTCTATTAAAAKAACTATTTCTTTCAAAAAGATTATATTATTTAGAGAGCTCCTGTAATTATTTAATACAATTTATTCTTCATATTTGATCATTTATTGAATCACAAAGCAGTTCAGTCACAGTATGGTTCTAAATATAAGCAAGCTAAATTGTGAAGAAGGAAATTTGTAGATGTTTATGATAAACTACATAGCGGGAACATAACGTTTTGGATTTTTTTGTGTGTGTGTGKGGGGGTAAAGCTARGCTGAGACTTGTCTTTTCTATAATATGGGACAAAGAAATGTTCATCTGTTAGAGTTAATATTGTTTCGTTAGAAGAGCTGAAACAGTGTCTCTCTCAGAACAACACAGTCTGTGTGCACCTCGCCTCGCTSCTGTGACAGCGCTGTCGAAGGAGTGGAGTTTGGTCACGTGAGCAAAGTTGGACATAATCTGTTCGATAATGAAGCTCTGACCACATAAACTTATAGTGTGTTACGTTTTAGATACGAATGTTTTGGGTAGCTCGGGAGCAAAGTGTGGTGAGAGGACAGGGTTTGCTCGCTCAGGATAAACTAAGCTGTGGGGTTCTTTTGATTTGTTGAACCCAATGTCTTTATCAGACTGGGCGGCTTGAGACTGCAACAGAAAATGAGCAGGCTTCTCTTTTCCTCATTTCTTTTAAATACCGAAATTACCGACACGTGCAAAATGACGTCAGTTATTGACATAAATGTCGGTATCAGTTATTTTTCGGTTTATTGCCCAGGCCTAACCGGAAGCCATTTTTAGACCTATACATACTCTAATTATAACAATTAGATCAAATACATAGCTGATGTGAGTAAAATAGTCATAACACAAAGTTGGCATAAGTTGTTCAAATGTGACAGAGTCTTTAATCGTTGCCTTGTCTGTCTGTGCACACAGGCAATCAGAGTATGGAGGAGTAGTGTTTGGGGGCTGGGCAAGGATGGCTCAGACAATCACCACTTTTTCCATAGTAGAAGTTGCAAAGCCCAACATCGGAGACAGCTGGCCTGCTCGTGTTCGAGCTGATGTCACAATAAACCTCAACGTGCAAGAACATATCAAACAAGAGTGGGAAGGTAAAAGTCAGTTTGAATGCTCTGTAGCCCTTCAGTTATTTATAGCTTTCCTTTAACATAATATTTTCATTCAAGATCCTTTATAGTGGTTCTTCTTTTGTACATAATGAGTGATTCATTATTATTCCATGTGAAAAAAAAAAGTTGTATTTGCATTTTTTCCTTTAGGTCTACGAAAGCATGATGTTTGCTTTCTCATCACAATTCGCCCCAACTTGCTCTATGGCACACGTTTCGACCGGCGCCAGCCTTTCGTAGAGCAAACTGGCCTGGTTTATGTGAGAGGCTGCGAGGTGCAGGGTATGCTGGATGAGAAGGGCCGTGTCATCGAGGAAGGTAAACTCATACATATCTCTGCCTGCATGATGCAAACACCCACTCACATGGCACCCAGTCTCTGAGCAGACCTCTGTGCAGCCTTTGCTACAAGGAACAATCAGACATGTTTTTATGGTAGCAGTAAAAAGTAGGGCTGACCTGTTTACATTAACATTTTATTAACATTAGGTCAACAACACCATCTGAAAACAATGGTAATATTTTAATGTCATATGTCATTGTATGTCTGTTTAATATTGATTGAACAGCTGCAATTTAATTCCACCCTTTTTGCTTCAAGTCTAACAAAAAACCTCCTTAAGTAAATGCCACCTACTTTTTTATTTTGATTAATATGCCCACAGCCATGTTGCTGTACTTGACATGGCAAATATATCCATGATATAATGTCAATAAATATTACGCTAATTTAAGTACTGTCTTATATTAGAACTAAGATGCACCGGGTCTTTACAGCTGCTACTATTGCTGTTTTTAATTGATAGTTTAGGTACTAATGTTTAGGTGGCAATGTATGCAATATGTATTTAAAACACTAAATTAATTTTTATAAGTACTGCAAACCAAAGCAAGAGAGAAAAGAAGCATGTTGGAAAAGTAAAATGTAAATGGTGATAGAAATTTTACATTTGTTTATTTAATCATTTTATGCCGCCTATTGGAAATCATTCAGTTATATGTATTTATTGCTATCTGCTTAAATAACTGTGGCTAAAGAATCCAAGTGCCCACATAAGATWCCCTCAGACCTAATTCCAATTTCTAATTTTTCCTGGAAAGAAAAATAYTTTATGCACTAAATAGATCTGTTTATTCGTTTGTGCTCCTGCTGGCAGCCTGAAGCACTCATTTTGGGTGTAGTTTCATAAAAAAAAATTTTTACAGCCACTGTCTTTATCTTCTGTCTGAACATTTATCACCGTCCAGATTGACCCTTTTCCTATCTTGTCTCCTTTGTCTTTATCAAAATAAAGAGCTCATACATGTGTGGTTTTTATTTTTATTTTTTTAAATAAATAATTCAAAAACTTCATTTTATCTTTTAAAAATAKCACCTGTATTTTCTAACACACCTCAGCCCAGCCGTTCACATTAGTGTCACATCATGTTGAGGATGTAGGGTCCACTTTTGAGTTATCATCACACCCATTTCAGCAAGGGAGTTGATGATTCCCACTTAACCACATAACTGCACACATGGGCATGCACATCAGAGCCAGACAAGATTAGTTGCATTCTCTTCCTCTTTGCTCCACAGCGTCACACATAATCTATTTAGATATTTGTGAAAGCTGTACTTCGTTCACCACATAGGGTCCCATTGGGATTAAGCCTGATGCCTGGGGTCAGGCAGTCATTCAAGCATGAATGTGTAAACCTCATTCATGAAAAGCTTAGGCCCRTCTTTATTTATTTAAAGTAATGACGGAAGGGCTTTGCATGAAAGTAACCTAAATTACTTTCAGTTTTAGAATTTCTCTTTTAAGACTAGATGACCCTTTTGTAACAGTCTTTTGAAAAATATACAAATTGAAATGCATAAAAATCTTGTATTTATCACTTTGAGTTATTTATTTATTTATTTATTTATTTATTGTATAAATATTATTTTTGATTTGCTGTCTAGGGCCTGAACCAAAGCCTAAGCTACGAGGGGATACCAGAACGTTCCGTGTGTGGCTAGACCCAAACCAGTATCAGCAGGACATGACCAGCAGTATTCAGAATGGCACAGAAGACCCCTACGAGACTTTCAACATTATAATGAGACGTAAACCCAAGGAGAATAATTTCAAGGTATAGTCTATGTGGTGAATTTCTTTGTTTTTTAAGTGCTTAATCATGAGACTTTTAGCTTTGGTCTCAGCAGAAACATTTGGCAATGGTTCAACATAACCCACTCTGCTGGGTATTAAAGCTGTAGAGTTGACCCCAGGGCATTTTTACAAATCCCGTCTCTTCAACGACTTCTCGCCATTTCTTGCTTTTCACCTTGAGGAATTAGTTTATGGTAATGAAGTGATGCTGAGATTTATTTATTTTTATAAAAGCATGACATACTCGCAGTATAATATGCACATGTCTTTTTGCCTTCCTATTTTTGATTTAACACTTACAGTGGTTTGCAAAAGTATTCATACCCCTTGAACTTTTCCATATTTTGTCACATTACAACCACAAACATAAATATATTTCACTAGAATTT